GATTTTTGTAATATGCTTTCTATATCCTTTTAAATTCTGTCAAATCTGTGGTAATGTCTCCTAGATCTTAATATTGTAATTCAAAAAATGTATAACTGATATTGTGTAACAGGAAGAAAAGGTGTAAAAGAGCAGGGAAATTGGGAGGGGTAGGGGAATGGAAAAAAGGGAAGGGAAAAAATATGAGAGGAGGAAAAGAATGGAAACAAAGTCTTTGCAAATAGGGAAGGGTGGAGGGTGTGAAGGGAGGGCAAGGGAAGGGGAAAAAAAATAAGAACCAAGAGACTCATGTAATGGGACAAGATTCCAATGATGAATGCAACTGTATTTTATACCTAAAATGTACCAATAAAGTTAATGGGGAATAAAAAAAAAAGTAAGAGTAAACCCCTGTCCGACTACAACATCCAGAAGGAGTCTACTCTGCACCTGGTCCTTCGTCTGAGAGGAGGGATGCAAATCTTCATGAAGACCCTCACTGGCAAGACCATCATCCTCAAGGTTGAACCCAGTGACACCACTGAGAATGTGAAGGCCAAGATCCAAGACAAGGCGGGCATCCCCACTGACCAGCAGAGGCTGATCTTTGCTAGCAAGCAGCTGGAAGATGGATGCACCCTGTCCGACTACAACATCCAGAAGGAGTCCACCCTGCACCTGGTGCTCCGTCTGAGGGGAGGTATCTGAGCTTCCCCTATGTTTTAAGCATACAAGAAGTTCCATTGCACTTTCAATAAAGTTCTTGCATTCCAAAAATGTAAATAAAAAATAAAGTAAGAGTAAACATTTGTTGTGTGCACAAGCAAATGATAACATAAATAAATAGTAAAGGAATCTGTAGGATGAACTTCCTTTTGAAAGAAAGCTGTACATGGGAGGGTCATTAGTCCCCTCCAATTCTCACAGTGAGTTTCACATGCCCAGAAATGCCTCTCATGCCCCCAACTCAGTAACAGCCCACTTCCACAGCTTCTCCTATATATGAAGAGTTTTAGGAGCAAATGGAATATGGGACAGAGCACATTAGAACAACAGGCCTTCTTCTCAGCACCAGATTCAGTTCCTCAATATCCTTGAGAAATATTTGGGAGATGTCTTGTAAATCAGGGCAATCATTTGGCTCTTCTGTCCACCTGATGCTGCTAACCACACAACCTACTAGAAGTGAGCTATAGAAGAGAGATTTAGAGACCAAGATACAGCAGATAATTAACCACCTACGTAGGATGCCCCCACCCAGGGCTTTGCCCACCCAGGACTAACTCTTGACAATATCAAAGTATGTTACTAAAATTTATACTAAAATTTAAATTCCACTGAGGAATTTAGCACTTTAAGCTATCAGTGGTTTATACTACCACACAAACTCACTCTCAATTCTTTTCTAAACCAAGGTATAGATAGGAATGAGAAAAGATAGTGCCTAAGGGATACTGTATGACAAAAAAGCCCTCAAGGAAGGTTAGAGAGGACAAAGGCAACCTATTTTACTTTGCTTTGCTCAGAGCTGGTCCAGCTGAGAAAAATGGCCCTTTGTCAACTGAAAAAGCTGGAACCAACTGTGGTTTGAGCCAGCTTTCTAAGAACATTGGCTATTTGAGCTTGGCTTTGAATCTGGAGCAAATGCAAAACAGGGTAGGTAAGGTATATCCAAGGAGTCAAGGGGTGTGATTCTGTTAATATTTGTCAAACTATTCTTACTCTTTTCCTGCTCTACAACCTCCAACTAGAAGACCGTTCCATTAATCCCCTGACTTGGAGCCAAATGATCTCCACTGTGGCCAAGAAAAGTTCAAGGGCAAAGGCATTACAGACAACTATTTAATCATTATAATCAATAAATAACATTTACTGGATACTTCTACATGTCATGGTGCTTAGCTTTTCATGCGGATTATTTCTTTCTATTATTCTAACATATTAAGTTTGTCATTATCCAGATGCTAAAACTAAGGCTCAGAGAAGTTAATAGATCATTTGGTTATAAATATTGCGGCTGGAGTCCAACCCAAGCAGTCTGACTCCAAACCCTAAAGCTGTAGGCTAAGCAGCAGCAACTTTGGGAAGAAATGCTTGTCTGTCAAGGAATCAAATGAAAGCCATTTGGGTCTTCACTCAGCCCTCATTCCTTCACAATGTGACCTGAAAAATTTTTTTCCTACTGCTTCCTCACAGGTAGCAATGGGAAGGAAATGCTGGCCTGGGCCTCGTGGTGTCCTCAAAGGAGATACATAAAGAAAGGCAGCCCTGGCCAGGGATTTAGCTCAGTGGTTCAGGCACCAGGTCCCGAGTTCGATCCCTGGTACCAAAAAAAAAAAAAATACAAGAAAGGCAGCCCTGGCTCACAGCCATTGTCATCCACTGAGCTGAAACACAGAGCTCTATGGAAGCACACCTGCGTCCCTCATTTCTGAGATGAAATAATGGTTCAGACAGGGGTTTAAAGCCACACTGATGGACAGACAGCATAATACCCATAACTTTCTCAGTACATCTTTCATCTGCAGAAATCAGGGCAGGATAATTTTAGCTCTGAATGTCTTAGCACAGCTCCATCTATCCTGCCACCAGGCGGGCTCCTAGATAGAAGACCTCAGACTCAGCCACGAACCACAAACTTCAAAGTCTGATAGTGACTTTGGGCCTCATAGGGAACAGGGCTCAAGACATCACCAGCTCTAGGCCATGTTCCAGGGCTGTAGTGTCAGCAGAAAGCCATTTTCTCTGACCATAAGGTGGTAACCTCTGAACATCCAAGGATATGCTGCTACTCCCTATTCACTGACCCATGGCTCCCAGAGCAGCTCGGAGCAGGCAGAAGATTAAAAAAGGAAAGCATTACCTGTGCAGGATGCCTAGATAGTGGTGTCCTTTAGCCTAGAAAGCCCCTCCTCACTCAAATGCCTTTTCTCAGTCCCACACATCTTTTTCTCTTCCTGTCTTTTTGTTTTTTGATGGCCCATCCATTTCATGTTTGCTCTCTCTTTCTGTAGAAGTTCTTCTATGTGTGTGTGGAGATTTTTAAAGTCCTTCTGAGGGCAATGCACACCTCTCTCTCTCACTTTCCCAATTTTATAGGTCTTATTCATTAGTGGGAAAACTTAGTCTTCATAATTTTCACTCTAGCCAATTTTGCTGTCCTCAGCTCTTCTCCCTGCTCACCAAACTCCAAACATAGAGGATTATTGACAGAAAAGATTCAAGAACCAGAGTTACAAGGTACACATAGGCACCTGTCCTTCCTATATAGGCCAGAAAACTACTGGCCTAAGTGCCAGCTGAAAACTAAGACCATTCTCTCACAATTATGGCCTCAACATCAATGTGGCATCTCATGTCTAATAATCTTCAGAACCCAGAGACGGAGCTTCCTTAGACCTTGGTGAACTGTAAGTTACCACACAGGGCCAAGGAGGGCCCAGGGGTATGCCAGGTATGGTCACTGGATGTCAGTTTATCACAGTGGGCCTCCTTGGCGTAGTTGGCATTTAGAGTTCTAACAAGCTTTGTCTATTTCCTGTCTCTAAGAATAAGGTGGAGAGTTGTAAACAATTGCAAAGCTAATTATTATTTTCTTAATTTTCCCCATCCTTACCTTTCCCTTGTTTTGTGAACTCACTCAGACTTTTCCTTCACTTTGTCAGTTAAAATAGAAAAAATAAAAATGTTACACCCCTTAGAGTTATTACATCAAATAAACATGCAGACATTTCTAGTTCTTCACTCCAAGCCACAGAACCTGACTCCAGCCAATATCACCACTGAGACAGGACCTAGAAGAAAAAGGGAAATGCCCAGGCCCCAAAAAAGGTAGGGACTGGGAAGACAAGTTTCTGAGCTACAGAAGTGGACAATTTCTTCAGGGGAGCCCTGTCAGGGCTAATCAACCCAAATCATCTCTCCACCCTTCTTTTACTCAACTCAAGTTTCCTGTTTCCAAGAGAGACAGCTCAGTTGGTTTAATATGGGTCATACACCCATCCTCTTCACAAGTAGAGACCACAGAACTTTGATTCACAGGTGTGATATAAGGACTCAAAGAAGGCTTGATATTATGTATTTCTTGACCTAAGGAGAACAGGAAGGGCCTCAAATGACCCAACTTCTCTTCTCCCTCTATGCTCCTACAAATAAGGGGTAGCCAAACAACCTTCTTTATCAAATGAAGTACAAATCCTACTTATCCCTGCTGGCCTGCGAAATTATTTCAATAACCCAATCATATCCTCACATGTCACAATAGCACCTCACCCTCTTGATAATACAAAGCTTCCTCCTACATACCCTGCTTGTTCATTCTATTCCCTTGTGGGTCCCTGTATGGCCTGCAGTGTCCTCCTCCCCCAGGCTGTGTGTATATGAGACTAATAAAGCACTGGTAATCTCGTCAATCCAGCGTCAGATGTCAGGCGTCTACCTATCCCCATAACTCTAGAGCAGGAATCCCTTCTTCACCAACAAAGTGAAGAGGAAGCAAATAAAACAAAGGTACCCAAGGATTGCATGCAACAGAGGGTAGGTGACTCCCAAAGGGAAAACCAAGGTGCTATTGCCAAAAAGATGACAAGCAAAAACAACAGGTATCCAATATATCATGAAAAGTGGTTAACATACGGTGCCTGAGAAATAGAAAGTGATTTAATTTTTTTAAATGATAGGTAGAAGGAATATTACTTGTACATTGTCATGGTAATCAACAAAGTCTCTGGGAAAATCATTCTCCATGTTTAGAGTATGTTTTGTCCACCTTCACCACCTTTTCCCCAGCATCTTCATGGCAATACAGAGAAACAAGTGACAGGAAATCAAAGGCATCTTTGAGGTACTGTAAGTGTGGAACACAATCCAAAAAGTACAAAGACACTGGCAGAGACACCCCCTTGTGTGGAATTCCTTAGTTAGGCAAGGAGCTGAGGCTCAAGGGCTAGATCACACAAAGCACCTTGCTCTGCAAACAGTCACTGCCAGCCAAAAACACAACAGGCTGGAAAGGTGATGAGCAGTATCCTCTGTACAGATCACTCTCCTGATTATTTATCCCTTCCAGGTTAAATTAAAAACACAATTTCTGGGGGACCAGGGATATAGCTCAGTAGCTCCACGCCTGTCTGGCAAGTGCAAGAGTTCAATCCCCAGTGTGGGGTTGTGGGGGGGCTATTTCTGGCAAAGATTGGCCTTCTTAGTAAACAGTGCAGCTTTAGCACCATGATATGTTCCAATCACAAATGCCAGACTGAGTTCTCTGACCCCAACTATCAACCTGTTTACTATTGTTTTGACAATAAAGTGTCATTCTTCCCATTTCTAAGAGTTGTTTTCAAAATGACACAGGTCCTACATTGTAAGTGAGTATTTCACCTTTGCAGAGATTTGGTCTCCTCAAGCTGAGAAACAAAATAGGACACAGACTGTGTACCTGCCAAGAAGCAGCACACCTGACTAGGACAAGACCCAAGAGGGAGAAAAGGAGGACTGAGAAGTGGCTGGGGACACACACCAGTGACAAATATTGAGACAACTACTCAGTAGACCAGACTCAGCCAACATCACTCTGATCATGTACCATGGAGCCATCCAATTAAGTGCCATGGCTGTAGCTTGGCATCACCCTAGTCTCTGTCTGCTGGGAGCCCAAGAACTTGGTGTTCGCACTGACAGCCAGGAATATGTTGGCCCCAGATACTAAGTTCCAAAAATCTCCAGTCACTGCATAGTACCTGTAATCCCAGCTCCTTGAACACCAGGAAATCCTAACC